AAAAAAAAGTGAGCAGGGAGCCAGCCGGTGGCATGAAGGTGGCTTGATCCCATATAGCTGGCCACAAGTCAAGTCCCAGACCTGGCAGCTTGACAATCAAGCCAGGTGCATGTGCACCCATGTCCAAAATACCAAGAGAAGGACGGACTGCGGCCATCCCCCCGAGGTGGCTTCTCACTTTCCCTCTCTCCAGGAAGCAATGCACCCTGTGGCAAAAATTTGAAAAGAAAAAAGTGAAAAAGCTTTCTTAGAGCTGGGGATGGGGAGGGGAGTTGGGGTGCTGGCCAAGGGGGAGCCAGGTCTCTTCTCAGGGTGGTAAAATGACCGAAGCGGCATGGCGACAGTCACCACTCTGACCGCACTCGCTATCCTCTCCGGGCCGGCCCACAGCCCAGCAGTTAGGGGAGCTGGATCCCGCATGGCGACTGCGGTTCAAGTCCCTGCCCATGGGGCTTGGGAAACACGCTGGGAACACGTGCACGTGCCCACACCCTAGGAGGATGAAGAGATGGAGGGCGGCCATGTGCCCTGCCTCATCGGGACGCTTTCTCCCTCACCCTCACCTCTCCTGTCTCTGTCTCTCTGAGGAGTTCATGTGCCCTACAGCAAACTGTTTTCAATCCACCATACAGGGACCAGCAGTTGCCATAATGGCTATGTCGCTGGACTCCCACGTAGTCGACCGCGGTTCGCGTCCCGGACCTGGTGGCTTAAACTCACGCCGGGCGCGTGTGCGTGCGTGCCCAAGATCCCGAGAGGAGAATGGAGGAGAAGGGATTGTGGCGTGACCATCCCCCCTGGGGGGTGATTTCTCGCTTTCTGTCTCTCTGTCCCTGTCTCTCTGGCAAGTGCACACTCCCTATAGCAAAAACCTCTCAAAAAAAAACCAAAATCCACCATAGGTGCAGATCACAGCTCGTGTACCCTGGTGCCCGCCACGGCACTCGGGTTGGACACCTGGGACCTTCGGCAACCCTGGCGTGGATCTGAACACGGGTACATCTTTACCTCTCCGAGACCAGGGTTTACCTCTCTTGGCCAGCTCCAAGGCTGTCTGTTTCCCGATGCCCGTGTTGGCGCCCGTCACAATGACTGTCTTCCCGGGTATGGTGGCCTTGCTAGGACAAGCCCCGCCGGAGACGTAGTCCCTGAAGGTTAGAAAACAAAACGCGGTTTTGTCTGTCCATGTGGTTTTGTCTCACCCCACGTGTCCGACGTACGACTGCGGGCAGGCAAGCCCCTCTGCTCACGTCCCCAACGACAGACAGACCGGCTCTGAGCTCGGCCACCATCACGTTCTCGGTAAGGGCGCCACCCTGCCGGAAAGCACTCGAGGCGGGATCAGTCCCCACGCCACGTGACAGTCACACACACGTAGGAGCTTCCAGCCCCAGCCATCCCGCCCTAGAGTTCTGCGGGTCAGAAGTCCCGACTGGCCTCCCTGGGAGAAAACCCGGTGCGTGCGGGCCGCGTCCCTCGGGAGCCTCCAGGGGAGCCCCTTCCTCGCCTTTGCCAGAGGTCCCCACTTCCTTGCCTGTGTCCCTCCTCCACCCTCCGCCACAGGACAGCGGCCTCTGTTCGTCTGCCCCTCCTCCCACTCCGACCCGCCCTCTTCCCTCCCACAAGGACCCCGGAGATCACACCCCCGCCCCGGGTGATCCAGGACCACCCCCCACCTCGAGTCCTTACCTGAAACACATCTGCAGAGTCCCCTCTGACCCACAAAGTGCCACAGTACAGGCCCCGGAGGTCAGGATGTGGACACCTACGGGGCCATTACTCTGCCTGCCACGCTGGTACCCAGAGGCTAGAAGCGAGCTAACGCCAGAGTGAGGGGACAGGCCAAACCATGCTGCATCCATCCCAGAGAGGACACCACACGATACGGTGACACCAGGTCCTCAGGCTAACTTCCACGTAAATTCATTAAAATTACAGCTGCAGGTGGCACGGTGGTTAAGGCGGCTGGAGCTCACATGGCCAACCGCACAGTTTGAGTCCCAGACCCAGCAGATTGAAAACACACCAGGCAGGACCAGCACTGAG